ATGTTAATTATCATTATGTAAACTTTAGTACACCTATACTTGAATTTTTTTAGGCAATGGGCAAACAACAAGGACTTTTTCACGTTTGAAAGTTTCTATAGCAGGTACAAATTTTTGATGGATTCTTTGAACAGGAATATAGTTTGCAGGTCCATCAATCTCAAAAATGTCTCGACACCATATTTCTATTGGTGGACCAATTTCATTTTTTGCAGGATGCTCCTTAAACCAGTGAACAACAGCAAAAATACATGATATGTACTCCCCTGCAACCTTGACATTTTGCTTAAGAAAGTAACGAATAACTCCAGGTCTCAAATGTACTCCACTTGCATCTATTCTTCCTCCAAGCTTACACCATCTTGCCAAGATAAATGATGACCTTTTGCCAATTGTTCCACTAGATCCTAATGTTTCTGCATTGAATGAGCACGATGAAAATCTTTCAAATTGGGCTGTCACTGATGCATCATCAACTTCATCAAAAAGAGTATGATAAGTTTCCTTCAAATATGGCAAAAATTCAAGGTCAAGGCAGTCTCTCGCATAAGACTTTGAGCAGTTATACAGAGAACTTTTGCAGGCCCAAACACCCTTCTTTAGAGGACCAACAGAGAGTAGCATTGTGGATAACATACTGTTTGTGCCTTCAACACTAGGAATACTGCATGTACTTTCGCTTAAAGTACCAGACTGTTTCTTAAGAGTGGATGTCTGTAAAAATCAAACATTTTCGAAAATAAGTGGCAAACCTTGAAAAATCGATTTTGCTCATACTTTTACTATTGATAGGGTAGAGTGTCCCTATAAACGCTGTGTAGTTAGTTTGGCTGAATATCGTGTTTTGGGGGAGATATATGCAAATTAGTCGAGGACACCAAAAATTGTAGATTTCAGACCAAATTTTGGTCCCACTTTGCGAGATCGCTATGTCAATTTGAGTAACGCAAACTCAAAACTAACTTTGGATCATTGTAACGCAATGTTTTGTTTACTCTGTGCTTGTATGTATATATGTGCATGTATAATGCAATTCTAAGCAACTTTGGCGTTACGTAGCGTCGCGTACAAACATTTGCCTAAATAGAACCCTACACCGTTCAAAAGATCTTTCTTTGGAGAGTTTGTTTTCGAAGTTTTGAGGGCTTTCAAGGTTTAGCACATATTTCGAAAAAGAGTTTTTGAATGGGCTCCCTGTGTATTTCATTGTTGACAACTTGCTTTGTGTAAATTGATATACTTCCGTTTCATGGGATGTGTTTCATATATCGGAGAGCATATATTGTATTTACTCCAAACTCGAATCGATTTCTTCATTTAGTATGTTTTGAGTAAGTTTTTTCCTGATAACTTTGCATTTGAGTTAAAGCTTTTGCGAACTTTAAGGTCTAAAATTTGCAATTTTAAGTAAATTTGGCGTCACGTAGCGTCGCGTACAAACATTTGCCCAAAGAAAACTTTACATCGTTCGAAAGATCGTTCATTTGAGACTTTGTATGCGAAGTTTCGAGGACTTTTAAGGTTTAGCACATGTGTTATTTGTATTTTTGTATTTATATTTGTATTTGTATTTATATTTAGGTGTACTTTTCCTAGACAAAAATAACGTCTTCGAAAATAAAATTATTTCGGTATGAAAGAAACGCCGTATCGATCTGAAACGCAAGCACAGAGTAAACAAAACATTGCGTTACAATGATCTAAAGTTAGTTTTGAGTTTGCGTTACTCAAATTGACATAGCGATCTCGCAAAGTGGGACCAAAATTTGGCCTGAAATCTACAATTTTTGGTGTCCTCGACTAATTTGCATATATCTCCCCCAAAACACGATATTYARCCAAACTAACYACAYAGMGTTTATAGGGACACTCTACCCTATCAATAGTATAAGTATGAGCGAAATCGATTTTTCAAGGTTTGCCACCTTTTGTTTGATTTTTACGGACATTCACTCTTAAATAGCCTTTCAAATATAGGTTTAAATTTGTCTTGAAAAATTATAGGCAATGGCATGTCTTTCAAAAATTGGTCAGAAGTAAATTTTCTCATAAGTTGTATTTCAACAGACTTGTGATTTGTTCCATATTCCCCAAGAATGCCATTGTACCTTTCAAAGCTAAAAAGCCAAAATGAGTACACAGGACCATAATCTAATATACAATCAGCAAGATGAGTATGAAGGTGCATGTTTGGAGTTACCTTTGTAGTACCATACCTCTTTTCAACTGCCTTGCAAAACTTTATGATATAATTACTTGCAAGACGAGTTTTCAGTTCTGTGATAAAGGGGGTACAGAATAATGAGCATGCTAGCAC